CTTGGACTTCTAAAAAAATTATGAACCAAGCTGTTTCCCTGAAAATATGCAAGAATAGACTTTCAGAATAGTATTCTGCAAGTCATTTACAGCTCACGGCCTAATAGCTGTAATAATCCCCTTCCCTGACTCTGTATTATGTAAAGAATAATTCTACCATTGATATAGGAGAAAGAATAGAGATGGAAAAATTTAAAGAACAATTTTAACAATGTCATATTTTAGGGGATTTTCATTGTATAATTTAAAATAGGACAATCTTGGCAATTAAGTATTTGTGGAAATAAGTCACTTGATGTAGCTGTATGAACATGTTGAGATGAAAGCATTTGCCAAGCATGACTTTTCAAGTGTGATTAAATGACTCTCTATAGTTACCAATTACAATTCATAACCATTACTACTGTTCAGATATATTAGGGTTGAACTACTAGTTCAACCTACTTAAGCTACTAGTTTATTCATTTTTTTAGATTTTTCACAATTGTGTGTTTTATATCCTGACATATAACATCTAATGTAATATTATTGATGCTGAAGGCACATAAATAATATACAATCATTATTCCAAAAAAGGAAAGACGTTCCAACTATTTATTTTGAATTTTATTTATTTTTTTTTTTAAATTATTTTTTTTTTTATAGAGGCATGTTATTTATTTATTTGTTTGTTTGTTTGTTTGTTTTGTTTATACATGCACTGGGTACAGTCAGAAGCGTGGGAGGGTGAGGGAATTCACCAGAGCCAGAGTGGGGAGCAGAGCAGGCAGAAGGACTGAAGTACACTGCTGAGGGGAGCAGCGGGCGGCAGGAGAGGTCTGCGCGCCATGTGGGACCCTCCTCCAGTGGCCGGGGAGCAGCCGGGGATCGAACTGGCGCTGCAGAGGCCGGTTAGCTTCGCAACCCAGCGCTCAACCGCTGCGCCACCGGGGAGGCCCTATTTTGAATTTTAGACTTAAGAATGTTTATATTTAACTTAATATCAGACAGCTTGTAGCCTTGAATGTAGCAAATAAAATCAAGAGAAACTATTTGTTAAATGCATCTTTGCAGGAAAATCTCACAAATGGTTTTGTTTTGTTTAGCCAGTATATTTGAAACAATTCAAAGGTAGAATTATTCCTAACCTATAACAAGATAAATTTGGTTTGTTTGGATTTTGTGCTACCATTAAATTTTGGATTTCGGGAGAGTCAAATATTTAATACAGTGATTAAATTATAACCTGGAAAATGAATTCTACATGACCTGAGGCATGTAGAAATTATGAGAAAATATTATTAGACAACATACAGTTTCATACAACAAGGTGTGGGTCTTGGGAAAATCTAGTAGAAGACACCTTTGACAACCCCTCTAACTCAAGAATCCTGTAGTTTTCAGGTTGATTTGGTTCTGGACTCCCCCTAGTGTTCAACCTTTTGGTACTCTGAATTACCAAATTTGGGGTCATATTAAAAACAAGAAAGCAAAACAAGCAACACACAACTCCTATTAGAATAGTTTTCCAGGAAAAGAAGACAATGTCATTGAATGGTATAAGTGTGGTTATTAAGATGTTTGAAATAATAGTGTCACAAATTGAATGGCCAAAGAGGCAGTAGATTTCATTGGTTGGTTGGAGAAACCATTTATATTTTGCTGAGAGTGAGTTTGCTGAGACAATATTTGAAGGTCTAAGAACAGGAATCCTGGTTGCCTTAGTTTGCAACCTAAATGAGAACTGGAACTTTTAGGAGAATGTAAAATGAATGGGTGTATGGGTCCTACAAGGTCACAGAATTCTGGTTTGACTTTTAGACCCACCCAGAGCAACAGGTAGTTTCTGTCACAGCATAACCTAATGCAGCAACTGCTACAGCTGTTTTAAACAAAATGAAGAAACTCTTCAGTCTGATTTAACCTTATTTACCTCCCTATGTTGGCTTTTGTTATGCTCCTTGCTGTATCTTATAAAAAGACCCATTTTATTAGAAAGACCTCTTATGAAAAAAACCTTTTCCACGTGCCCATGAGGCAGAAGACTCTTAACTTTCTCTCCATTAAACTTTCACTTCTTGGCCAGTTCTCCACTGTAGGTATGCATAAATTTACACTCTTTCATGTATATATTTAAGTCAGTTATCACATCCTCATTAAGTCTTCTTTCCCTTTTTTGAACCCATACAGCTTCTTGGAATTAGAGTAAAAGAACCTCTGTGAGGTAAAGACATCAAAATAGAATACCTTGATGGGCATTTTATTCACACCTCTAGAGGTCAATAGAAATATTGACATTGTATTTCAGAAAATCTAAACCTATTCTTGGAAATTCTGAGTTTAGAGTATTCTCCAAAGAGAACAAACGTCAATACGATCAAGAAGAAAACAGAAAGTAGTGAGTGGCTTACCCTCTTTCTGTGCTGTTTTCTAATGCCTTTTAAATTGTTCCATTACTGGAGCTGGAAATATACAGCAGAAGCCAGATAAGTGACTGTAGAATCCAGAAGTCAGTCATGGTGTCTACCCTGAGGTTTGTGTGGAGTGAGACCAGGAACTGGCATTGATTTTAAAGATCCAAGGTCTGACTACTTTCCAATGAAAGGACATTGCTTTAGAATCTACAACTGATTATTTGTATAAGTAGAGGGGAAAACCCCACTGGTTTAAGCATGCAATCTCAATTTTGTAATCACACAGATTTGAGTTGTAGTGAAGGTGGGAAAAATAAAAGTAGAAAGACATAAGGCAAAAAAAAAAAAAGACATTTTCTTTGAATATCTGCAGCTATTTTTTAAAAAAGATTTATTTATGCATACAAGAACTGGGGTACAGGCCAGAGAAGTAGGGGGGGGGTGAGAGAATTCACCAGAGACAGAGTGGGGAACAGAACAGGCAGACTGACTGAAATACACTGCTGAGGGGAGCAGCGGGCAAGACAGGAGAGGTCTGCTGCGCTATGTGGGTCACCTCCCTGGCCAAGGATTGAACTCGTGCCGCAGTGGCTGCAAATAGCTTCATAGGTTGTGTCTTAATCCCTTGCGCTACCAGGGAGGCCCCTCTGCAACTATTTTTTGCAAGAATTCTTTTGCAAGAATTTTAAAACATAGGAAATGTATTTTAGCCTATACAGAGAAAACAGCATATTTCCCATGGAGTGGAGAGAGAAAAGGCAGAAAGAGAATAGCAGGTAATTATTTTAATAAAGTAAACCACATTGCATCCAATAGAGGATGTAGTACTGTTGTGCCCCAAGCAGACAATAAGCACTTATGAAAAGAATAGAAAAGGTTATGATTAAGTGGTCAAAGAACAATTATAGGAGTAAATCTGGAGTCTGAACAGAATGTACTGGTATGCCACAAATACATCAGTTGCCTATTTTTCCTTCTTTTCCCTCTTTAACGGATTTTAAACACTACATTGTGCTTCTCTCTTGCTATGCTGGTGTTTGAGTATCCGGATCTTCCAAAAAGGTTGGCGCCAGGTTATCGAAGGCACCAAGGCTACTTCTAGTCAACTAAGACAGTGGCATCAGGGCACTCCAAACTGTAACAGGGTAGTCCCCAGAAAAGGGGGCGGCTCCAGGTTCCCTGCCCCACCAAAGGGGGAGTGGAGCTGAGCAGGGAGAGAAGAGGCTGCAGAGGAGACTGAGGAAGGAAGGAAGCAGGATGGAGCCAGAAGGAGACCTGGAGGAGGCACATGGAGCCTAGAGACATGTGAAGAAACTAAACTTGTCTTTTGGTCATGGACTGGGTGACACAGATGTGAGTGAGAAACCCGTGGGGAGGTGACAATGTCAGCTTTTATCTTGATTTTGATTTTGCTCTTTTCCTTCCGGGCTTGTCTGCTTGTTTCTGACCCTTTTTTGTGGGTCCCCACTGGAAGATGCTTTAGACTTGGGGCAGGCTTTGGGGGCCTTGCTCTGGGCCAATCCCATTTGGATGGAGTTTTACCCACGAGGGGACGGGTAACTTTGGGTGCTTCATTTAGAAACTAGATTCTTTGCCTGTCCTGTATTGTTTCCTAATTGTACTAAAGTTCCTTCCCATTAAAATTTCATGTTTTGCATTAATGCAGCGGATGGCAGAACCCTATATAGAATAGGCAGGTTTGCGGGGTTTGGGTTGCTCCTCTCCCTGCCCTGTAACAAAACCACTGTGCCCACTGGCTGATGTGCAAAAAGTTCAGGTGATGATGCTCGAGTTCCAGAACAGGGAAAAGTATGTCGTACAAACCACCAAAGCACAGGCTTAATGACCTAGTTTTGTCACTTTGTTAGGGGGAAAAGGATGTCCTAAAGCTAATTCCATACAGGCTTCGTGGACTCCACCCCCAACCCAGGCCAAAGCCAAAGACACTGGGAACTCCAAATCCCATCACCACCAAAGGGAAGGTGGCTGGGACCTGAGGGTGGGGCTAAGCAGCCAGGTTGGTATAAAGCCAGACACGTGGGCTTTGGGGGGGGGGTCCCCCATTTTGGCTCTCGGCCAGCTCGCAGCGTCCAGCCAGGTCCGGCCAGCTCGGAGAGTGCCTTTGGGTTTCCAGGTCGGCGAATCGGGTAGGACGCATTAAAGTCTTTATTTCCCCTTTTTCTCCCTGAGTTGTACATTTTCCTTCTTTCCTTTTCCCTTGTAAATAAACCTTTTATTAACCTTTTATGTGTGTCTGTAGTGGAGTATTAGTAAGTCCCTTTTAAGCGCGCGGGTGAGGACCCACAGCCAGGAACCCGTTCAATATCGGGGCTCCCCTATAACAACTTAAGCTGTCTCCCAGGCACCTGAAACCAAAACTTCGTCTTAGGGCCACTGGATTTCATCAGGCCCGACACCACAAGCAGCCAGACTCGCGGTTCAAACGCCGCCTAAATTCCCCACCGGCCCTTTAGCCTCAACTCAGCAGACAAACCCAGCGTCACGGCTGGCGCATGCGCGCCACCTGCTTCCGGCCAAGGCGGTCGGTGTACCAGCCTTTCCCGTCCGGGTGGAACTCCCCGCGCCCCCAGCTTTCTGGGCCTGGATGCCCCAGTGCGCAATGGCTCCGGACTCCGATCCTTGCCCTGAAGGGCCGCTCTTGCAGCTGCTACCCCCAGACGCTAAGGACCGGGGTACCCAGCGCTGTCGCCTCGGGCCCGCCGCCCTCCGCGCCTTGGGCGCGCGCTTGGGCTCGGCGGTGAAGGTCTCTCTGCCTGATGGGGGCTCCTGCCTCTGCACCGCCTGGCCGCGGCGGGACGGAGCGGACGGCTTCGTGCAGCTGGACCCGCAGTGCGCGAGCCCGGGGGCGGCCGTGGGCGCGCGGGGCGCTCAGGGGCGCCTGAGCCTCAGCCGCCTGAGCCTGGTTCCCTGCCCGCCGCTCCGGCGCCTCACGGTGTGGCCGGTGTTTCGCGAGCCGGAGCGCGCGCCCTGCGCCCGGGACACAGCCGCGGTGCTGGAAGCGGCGCAGGAGCTGCTCAGGAACCGCCCGGTCTGCCGCGGGCACGTGGTGGCCGCCCCGCCCGGCGCCCCCGGCCCGCTGGCCGCCCTGCACATCCTCGGCGGGGCCCCCAGCCCGGACCCCGCGGGGCTGGTGACGCCGCAGACCAGCCTCGCGCTCAGCGACGCGCCTCTGGAGGAGCCCGAGCGGCTGCCGGAGGCGCCCTTGGGGGGCCTGGCGGAGGCGGCCGACGCGCTGCGGGAGCTGCTCAGCCTGCCGCTGCGCTACCCCCGCGCCCTGGCGGCGCTCGGGCTGCCCGTGCCCCGCGGGGTGCTCCTGGCCGGGCCCCCGGGAGTGGGCAAGACCCAGTTAGTGCGCGCCGTGGCCCGGGAGACGGGCGCTGAGCTGCTGGCGGTGAGCGCCCCCGCGCTGCAGGGCGCGCGGCCCGGGGAGACCGAGGAGAATGTGCGGCGCGTCTTCCAGCGCGCAAGGGAGCTGGCCCGCCGCGGGCCCGCCCTCCTCCTCCTGGACGAGCTGGACGCCCTGTGTCCCCGGCGGGGGGGCGCGCACCGAGCCCCGGAGAGCCGCGCGGTGGCCCAGGTGTTGACGCTGCTGGACGGCCTCGGTGGGGACCGTGAGGTGGTGGTCGTGGGGGCCACCAACCGGCCCGACGCGCTGGACCCGGCGCTGCGCAGACCCGGGAGGTTTGATCGAGAGGTAAAGAGACCCGGCTAGTCGGCCTGTTGCTTCTGGAGCTTCAGCCTCTTCCAGTCCTGACTGGCAGCCCCGAATCTTTGCCACTTTTTTTTCCAATTTTTAAAAATAGAGAAAATTAATTAAATAATAAATTTACTTAAGCCAGTGTATCCAAAATGTTATTTCAATTACTAACATAATGTTTTGCATTTCATTTTGTGTACTAAATCTTCATATTCTGAGGTGTAATAATTTGCACTTTCAGCTTGTCAATTCAGACCGTAAACTTTCTTGGTTTTGAATCGGTGAAGCTAGAGCGCGGTGAAGAACAGAACAGGTGTTCTGTCTATTTATGATCTTTGAACCAGGATCTGTTTTTTTTTCCCCCAGAGTCAGATTGTTCCTGTGAAACAAGGTGGGGTTGGTTTTGTTGTACAGGTCCTAAACTTGAGTATGTAATCTGTAATGTTAATTTTTAAGGCCATTAGGTGCGCTACAAGCATATTAAACTCTTACGGATTTGAAATGAGAATTTAAAGTAGTATATCCTCAAGAAATGACTGTATTGGGGTCTCTCTGTTGGCACAAGGGGTTAAATCTCTCCACTATGAAGCTGTCAGCAGCCACTGCAGCATGAGTTCCATCCCCAGCCAGGGAGCTGACCCAGATGGTGCAGATGGACCCAGATGGACCTCTCCTGACTCTCCCGCTGCCCCCCTCAGCAGTGTATTTCAGTAGATCTGCCTGTTCTGCTCCCCACTCTGTCTCTGGTGAATCCTCTCACCTCCAGAACCTCTGGCCTACACCCCAGCTCTTGTATGCATAAATAAAATAACTCTTAAAAAAAAAAAAAAGAAAGAACTGTTGAAATGAAAGGGAGAAAGTTGGGAAGAACTAACTCAAAGGCATTGTATCTTCTGGATTTATTCATTCTTTGTCAGGACCCAGGCATCCTTTACCACAATTGAGAAAGTACCCACAATTGCTCACTGAAGCTTGAGTATTCAAAGCTACACAATTTTATAAGCTTCAGTCCCTATTTTTTGATTTAGTTTGAGTAGTGGTTAATGTAAGTGATATTTGCACTTAGTGGTAGGACAATTGTAATCATAGCATGATGGCTTCAGATTTGAGTGGATTTTTCCTTGCACCAGCTGGTACCTGTCTTCTGAATATCTCCATGGGGCAGAGACCTAGACTCTGGTTTGCTATTGGGTCCTGGTTCTTAGAACTTGGTAGCTTGTCAAAAATAGCAAAAAATTGTTCAGTGGCATGTAATTTCCATCGTACAACTTTCTAGTTGTTGTTATTCTTCTGGGAAGTAAGAGTCTGCATATATCCATATCTAAGCTATGCTGAGTACATAGTATATGTTTTGCAGGATAAAAATATTTTAAACTGAAATTTTAATTTTTTTATATTTTTGCTTTGCTTATAGGTTGTCATTGGAACTCCCACACTTAAACAAAGAAAGGAGATTCTGCAAGTGATTACCGCAAAGATGCCAATTTCCAGTCAAGTTAATTTGAGCCTCCTTGCAGAAATGACAGTTGGCTATGTTGGTGCCGACCTGACAGCACTCTGTAGGGAGGCTGCCATGCATGCTTTGCTTCATAGTGAGAAGGTAGGAAGCAATGATTTATGACCATCTGTGGTTATCTTTTATTGCTGTAACATATTAATTTTGGTGTTTAAAAAAATGTGGTAAGTACATTTGCTTGGGATTTTTGATATCTTTAACAGCTGTTTATATCTCAGCTCCATTTAAGCCATATGTGACTGAAGGTGGAGACAGAGGGCTGAGTCCTCTAGGTCTACCCAGGCATTTCCCCCACTCCCATAATAACCCCTAATGCTGAAACCCAGAGTGGTCAGGCTCCAGAAGACTCAGACATTTTGAATTTTGAATAATGTTTTATTATGAAGACATTTCAGACTAAGAAGTTGCAAAAATAGTACAGAGAATTTCTGTTGATCTTTACCAAGAGTCTCCAAATGTGACATTTTATCACATTTGCTTTACTCTTCAGGTGTAAATATTTATACAGAGAACGTGACATATAATGAGAGATCTAAGAGTTCTTTATATATGTATTTTCTGAAACATCCTGAGCATATACTATAGCGATGATGCCCCTTTAGCCTTGAAATCCTAAGTGTTTTTTAGCTACAGTACAGTTATCAAGATGAGGAAATTAACACAGACACAGTACTTTTACCTAATCTCTATAGATTTATGCAGAATTCACTTAGTCCCACTAATTTCCTTTATAGTAAAAATTTAAAAAAAAAAGAAATCATTTCTTAGACCAAGATTACACTTTATATTTACTTTTCATGATTTCTTAATCTTTAATCTAGAACCATTTGCCAGTCCTTGTTTTTTGACTTTAACGTTTAACTGTTTGGATTTGATTCAAAATTTGATTCAGGTTTTGCATTTTTGTCAGGAATATCACAGAAACCATACTGTGTTCTACTTATTGCATCGACAAGGTAGCAAATGATAGCTCTGTGTCCTGTAATTGGTGGCATTAACTTTGATTTTTTTAATAAGGTGGTGTCTGAGATTTCCCCATTATCAAGATAGTGCTGGATTGTTGGAAAATTCATGACGTATTTTCCCTATGCAAAAATGCGTCGACTTTTCTGACAAGCCAGTATTTTTCCTTTTGTTAATATTCCCTTGATATTAATAAATATCTCATAGGGAAAATAACTTTTTCTAACCTAAATGTAGATTGGGAACCTTGAATTTTATTTAGATTTGTCTTTGACATTCAAGTCATTAATTCATGACTTTCTTAAAAAAATTTCTTTAAGAATAGCTATAAGAAAGTAAAAATCAAAATCAACAAACAATTGTATGGGGAATATAAAAATAAAAAAAATTTTATCTTAAAAAAATTTTCTTTAAGATTTCTTCAAAATATTTAGGGTATTTAAATTTCCATAAGTTTTCAACATTATGAATTGGAAAATTTGTACATTTTGTATGTAATAAGTAATCCTGAGTACCTAAACCCCTTCAGAAAAAACAATTTCAGTACATGGAGGATTCGGAGACAAAGTTCTTAACCTTAGTAACTTTAAAATTGCCCTTTGATCTTACAATTTTTAAAAACTAATTCTTGGGTTTTTTAAACTATAAAAGGATGGTTCATTGTCCTAAATGAACCTTTTTCCTTAGCTAATCTAAAATTCTTCCTCATTTCCTTGTTCTTCATTTTTACTCTTAACACTGAAGGTGAGGAAGGAATTATGTAAACTTCTAAGGCTTCATCTTCTGGATCTAGAAGCAAAACTGCTTGAAGGGTCAGTGACAAGTCCCATGTGTAAAAGTGTGAGAATACATGCCTTTTGAGGGGAGGATGAGAGTACCAAGGGATGGGAGATTTACATTTAGGATTCCTTCTGCTTTGAAGTTCCAGGTTTGACCTTAAGCTCGTTGGCTTAGGTGGACCAGTCAGCTGCTACCTCAGGAGGGTCCTGCCCAGGTATAGTTACCACAGGTGATGGCTGAGTTCATAAACAACCAGGGGAAGTGGAAGGAAGACAGGCAAAAAGGAAGAAGGGACAGAGGCATCTGGGAAGGTACTGATTCCATCTTTTCTTCTTTCCCCACTAAGCAGCTCAGGGGCTGCTTTTGCCTCTGTCTATGACAGGGATGCATGGAAGTTTGTTTACTTTTTGTTGATTAGATATACAGTTAAAGATATACACACAGAAAGGAAAGAATTTTATCTGCCTGAAAGGTTTATGAGATTCAAGTGAAATAATGTACACACAAGTGATCTTGGGATTTTTATGTTAGTGATGTTACCTGAAAATTAATTTGTATTCAGAGACCCAGTGTCTAATACTGCCAGCCAGCCAGCCAAAAAACAAAGTGGGGGACTATTAAAAAGCATTGATAATGTTGTTTGTGGGGAATTGAGAAGAAAAAAAAAATTGCAAAGGAAATGAAAATTGCCTGAAATTTCACCTCTAAGAAATTGTAATTATTGGGATGTTTTTAGACTAGTACTGTTCAGGGTACATATGTATTAAGTATAGTTTTATATAGGTAGAATAACGTTGAAAATGGAAAAATTTTATACAAGCAAGTATTCAGAATTTGATTTAAGAGATCAAATTAAATATAACGCAAATATTACAAATAGAAATATAAGAATTTTTTAACTGTAACAAAAAAGAATCTGCATCACTATAGAGATGAAGGAAATTGCAAAAAGGAGTCTCCAAAATATCATCTTAGGGGCTTCCCTGATGGCCTAAGGGTTAAGTCCTTATCCCCCCTATGGCCTGAGTTCAAGATTCCCTGCCAGGGAGCTAACCCACATGGTGCAGCAGACCTCTCCTATCTCGTCTGCTGCTCTGCTTAGCAGTGTATTTCAGTGTATCTGCCTGGTCTGCTCCCCACTCTGTCTCTGGTGAATCCTCTCACCCCATGCACCTCTGGCCTACACCCCAGTTCTGTTGCACAAAAAAATAAAATAAATTAAAAAATAAAGTGCACTGATGTCTATAACTTCCTTAGAGATATATCAAAAAAGAAAGAATTTGGGAAAAAATATAATTTTAGATTGAAGACAGCCTTTCTAATTATAATCAAAAAAGAAATGATTCACTAATTTGACCTTTGCGAATGGCAAAACAATACTATAAACAAAGATAAGACATGAGACTGGTAAAAATATATTTTTTTTAAGATTTATTTATTTATACATACAAGAACCGGAGTATATGCCAGATGTGTGGGAGGGTGAGAGGATTCACCAGAGACAGAGCAGGGAACAGAACAGGCAGACTGACTGAAATATACCCCGGAGGGGAGCAGGGGATGAGACAGGAGAAGTCTGCTGTGCCATGTGGGTATCTCCGCAGCCAACTGGGAACGAACCTGCACTGCAGAGGCTGCGGACAGCTTCACAGCACTGTGGTCAACCGCCTGCATCACCAGGGAGGCCCTGGTAAAAATATTTTTAACTCATGACAGAAAGATCAGTTTCCTTGCTATAGAAAACTTACAAATTAGTAAGAAAAACCGAACAATCCAAGAGAACAGGGATAGTCAGATATGAACAGGTATTAAAGGAATTAAAATGACCAATAAACATAAAATTCTTAAACTTTACTTTCTTAAAAAATAAGCTCCTTTCAGCTTTTTAAAACTATTTATTCTGAAATGATTTAAAACTTATGGGAAAGTTGCCGGATAGAGAACTGCTCAATTCTTTTTCTGAATTTACCAATTTTTAGCATTTTGCCAAATTAGCTTTAGCTCGCTGTCTTATTTTTTTTTGAACCATTTGGGAACAGGTATTGTGTGTGTGTGTGTGTGTGTGTATGTATGTATATATATGTATATATGTATATATGTATATCATGACGTATTAACCCTTAATATTTTAATATCTCTTAGGAACAAGGATATTTCCAGACCTGATCACAATATGGTTATGTATAATTGTATTCAGCCAGCAAAAAGTTTAACAACAACATGAAATGTTAACCAAATTCACATTCCATTTTTTGATTTTGTATTTGTCTTGATTGTTTCAGCATTTTTCCCCCTCCAGCACAGGATCTAGTCTAGGATAATATGTTGCATTTTGGTTTTAGTTTCTTTTAATTTTGAATACTTACTAGCTTTTTTGTGGTTACACATTTGTTGTTACACAATGTTGTATATTGATGTTTTTTAAAGATGCAGGTCAGTGATTTATAGAATGTCTCTTAATTTGGGTTTTCTAGTGTGTGGGTGGGGGGACAACTAAGTTCCCCTCCGCAAACTGAGAAAGTAGTTTGAGTCCAAGGAATGAAGCAGGAACATCCATTGATCCCATTTAAAGTTTATTAAGGGCAAGGTACATGCAGGGGTCCTTGGGGCTGGAGCCAGTAGACAGACTTCCCGTTAAGGTAGGAGCCACCCTTGCAGGGAACGTATACCTTGCTGGAACGTATACCTTAGTATTTAAAGGATAGGAGTTGTGAAAATCTATTGATACCAGGGGTCCGCAAACTATGTACCTCTTTGTGATGTTAAGATTAATAGGTTTGTGTATGGTTCACAGTACAGGTTAGCGTAGGTGAAGGAAACAGTGGGGAATCTGGCTGTCTTCCCAGGGTAGGATGTCTCTGGGTCACAGGCTAAGATGGCTTTGACACAAGTAATGAGTCACTTTGGTTTTTCTACAGGTAGTGTTTTTTCATAGTTACATTAAGATTATAGGAGTTTATTGGGAGTATTGCATAAGCAGTAGTATGTCCTTTTCAGGATATCACATGTGGTGGCATAGTTGTCCACAAGCCCTTCGTTATTGATGTCCCTAATAGTGACTGATGCGCACAACCAGTCAGTTTTTGCTCACTTTCTCCATTGAATGGACAGCTGCTATTTTCTCCCCTTTGCAACTAATAAGAAATCTCTGGGGAAACCCTTTACAGTGGTACAAATGTCCTATAGCTCATCAAACTTTTCCTCCCCTAAATTAACTTCCATTGATTATTCTTGCCCCAAAAAGTCTCTGCTATGATGGGTGCAAAAAAAAAATGACCTTCTAATTCCATCATTCCCTGTACATAACTCTTGATAGAAGGAATTTAATTAGCACAGTAGTGAATGCCATTTCTTCTGTCACATTGGCAAAAATTTTCAAGTTTGGTTAATATCCAGTGCCGAGATATGTGGGAAGAGCAGCTCCTTCATATTATTAGTGCAACTTTAAGATAATTGCTGTCATATTTTAAATGTGTATACTCTTAAACATAGTAATTCTGTTTTGAGCACGTGATTATTTAAAATAGGTGAACAGGGCCTCCCTGGTGGTGCAGGGGTTAAAGACACAGTGCTATCAAGCTATCACCAGCCACTGCAGCATGAATTCAGTCCCAGGCCGGCCAGAGAGCTAATCCACATGGCGCAGCAGACCTCTCCTGTCTTGCCTGCTGCTCCCCTCAGCAGTGTATTTTAGTAGATCTGTCTGTTCTGCTCCCCACTCTGTCTCTGGTGAATCCTCTCACCCCTGACGCCCCTGGCTTATACCCCAGTTCTTGTATGCATAAATAAATAAATCTTTTTAAAAAAAAATTGTGAACATGTGCATAATAAGCACTTTCAATTACAACTTAGTTTTTAATAACAGAAGACTGGATATGATTAAATTTTTTTAAGATTTATTTATTTATGCGTACAAGAGCTGGGGCATAGGCCAGAGATGCGGGGTTGAACGGATCCACCAGAGACAGAGTGGGGAACAGAACAGGCAGACTGACTGAAATACAATGCTGAGGGGAGCAGCAGTTGAGGTGGCAAGGCAGGAGAGTTCTGCCTCACCATGTGGGTTTCTCCCTGGCCGGCCGGAGATAGAACTCGTGCTGCAGAGGCTGTGGATTGCTTCATAGTGCGGTGCTTAACCCCTTGCACCACCAGGGAAGTCCTGATTAAATTATGATACATTCATACAGTTGTGTGTGATGTACAACATGGTGACTGACTGTAATCAACTTTGCTGTACATTATCTGTGAAAGTGATTAAGAGAGCAGATACTCATCACAAGCGAAAAAACCCATTTTTTTCTTTTTTTTTTTTTTGTACCTACATGAGATAATGGATATTGGCAGATTATGTTAATCTTGTCATGATTTTACTGGGTTGTCAGAAAAGTCATGACATATTCTTTCTGTTTTTTTTTTTTTTTTAAAGTTTTTTTTTTTTTTTTTAATTTATTGATTGACTGATTGATACATACAAGCACTGGGCACAGTCAGAAGCGCGGGAGGGTGACAGAATTCACCAGAGCGGGGAGCAGAGCAGGCAGAAGGACCGAAGTACACTGCTGAGGGGAGCAGCGGGCGGCAGGAGAGGTCTGCGCGCCATGTGGGACCCTCCTCCAGTGACCGGGGAGCAGCTGGGGATTGAACCGGCGCTGCAGAGGCTGCGGGCAGCTTCGCAACCCAGCGCTCAACCGCTGCGCCAACGGGGAGGCCCATTCTTTCTGTTTTTTAAGCAAAAATGTGTCGATTTTTTCCAGCAACCCAATATATATGTCAAATCATACTGTATGTCAATTACATCTCAGTAAAACTGGGAGAAAAAACACTAGGAGAATATGGAAAATGTCGACATCCTCTGGGGGTGGATATGGTTGACATTAGAGGAGAGACATCTTATGGTTTTGTACTGTGTGTATAAATGTCTTTGTAATAATAAAATAGGTCTACAAATTTCAAAAGAGTATTTTTTTAAAAAGTGATTATGCTTGTGTACCACAAAATAAAGGCCCACATAATTTACGCTTTGATTTTGCTTTTTGGGGTATATTTTTTCAGAACCAGGATAATCCAGTGATTGATGAAAAAGACTTCCTTGAAGCTTTTAAAAAGATTCAACCCTCATCTTTTCGAAGTGTTGTTGGACTGATGGATATTAAGCCTGTTGACTGGGAGGAGATTGGTGGCCTAGAAAATGTAAAACTGAAGTTAAAACAGGTGAGATAGAGAATCTACTTAAGTCAGTAGAATATTACAGTTTAAGATGAATACATTTATATGAAAACAGGCTACACTGGACCTGCTCTTGCTGTCATCACAACATGATCCTCACATTAAATCTAATGGTTGCTTTTAATTCCAATTTAACTAGACTTCTGTGGGCATCAAAAACTATCTTTTTCATACTTTCTTACCTCACCCTCTTTTTGTTTGTTTTTCACTTTAAGAGTTTGTAAACTAGAAGAAAGATCAACAAACTTTTTCTATAAAAGATGTTGGGTCACAAACTCAGAAGCTTCCAAACATAATCTGAAATCACTTCCCAGCCGCCACAGGGAAAGCAGAAAGTGACCAAAGAAACAGGATTGGTAGGTGGTGGGTTTAATGAACAAAGGAATATAAGAAGCTTTCTTGGGACACCCCAAGACGAGTAGATTTCCGTACCCTTCCACCAAACATTAGTTTAGATAGAAGCCTTAACTTGGTTCAATGACAGTACTCTCCAGATGGTCTTATACTACTGTCTCAAGGTTGCGTCTCTGGGGCAGCTTCAGGGAGCAGCAATGGAAACACACATTCCAAGGAAAGGAGAGAAGGTGAGGAACCTCCAGTTTCCTGAGTCCAGCTTATATGCAGTGGAGGTCTCATCTCGATCTCTCCCAACAAGGAACTGGTTAGTATCTTAGACTTTGTGGGCCATACAGTCTCTGTTGCAGTCACTCGACACTGCCATTATGGCATCAGAGCCGCTGTAAATAATACATAATCAGTGCTTATGTTCTAATGAAACTTTATTTATGGACACTAAAATCATGTAATTTTCACATCACAAAATATTACTCTTGATTTTTTTTTTTTTTTTAGCATTTAAAAATGTAAAATGATTCTTAGTTTACAAATACAGGTAGTAGACCTGAGTTTGCATTGGGACTGATAAAAAGCACAAAATTGTAATAAATAGTATGGCCTAGATGGCGACTTGATACTGGCTCTCACTGTGGAGGTTGAGGGACTGGATCCTCTGATTGCACTGCAGTTTCATAAATTGATTTTGCCAATTCATCTGTAGGGGAGAAACCCTGAGGAACGAGGCTTCTCTAACAACAAAGACAAAAAGACAGATTTATAAATAACAATGATAATTTATTTATCTGAACTAGTACCTCTATTTACAGTGAGCATTGTAGTCCTTGAGTGGATGGATAAGTGCATTTGTAACATGCCCTAATTTTTTTTTTTTTTATAGAGGCATGTTTTATTTATTTATTTGTTTGTTTGTTTGTTTATACATGCACTGGGTACAGTCAGAAGCGAGGGAGGGTGAGAGAATTCACCAGAGCCAGAGCAGGGAGCAGAGCAGGCAGAAGGACCGAAGTACACTGCTGAGGGGAGCAGCGGGCGGCAGGAGAGGTCTGCGCGCCATGTGGGACCCTCCTCCGGTGGCCGGGGAGCAGCCGGGGATCAAACCGGCGCCAGAGAGGCCGCGGGCAGCTTCGCAACCCAGCGCTCAACCACTGCGCCACTGGGGAGGCCCCATGCCCTAATTTTTTATATGTATAGTTCCATTTGATCTTCACAGGATACTTGAACAAGATTAACTACACTTTCCTCTTGGAAACATTTCTCTCCTTGCTTGAAGTGTTAAGCTTTCCTACCTTTTTGAGCTCTCCTATCCCTCCCTTCTGTGTTAGTGCTCCAATCTCTAGGGAGTCCTCTTTTTAAACTGTGAGTGTATAATCTTGATGTCCAAGACTTCAACTGTCTCTTGAAAGCTTTTAACAAAAATATCCATTGTGCATGTTTCTTTTGATCATCAGAACTTCTTAGCTGCCTGCCTACTGGATAATCCTGGGATCTCAACCTCAGTATGTCTCAAGTTCAGCTAATCAACTCTACTTTATACCTGGATCCCTTACCTCAGTGTATATCACCAGCCAACCCTTCCCCTAAGCCAGAAACCTGTCTTCTAAATGCATGGGGTCATGTCATACATGCTCGTAACTTCCACTCTGGGTTTAGAGCTTAGTCTTTACATAAAACACACTTTTTATGTTTCACATCTATTCCTTTGGTGTTGTCACTGCCTGTGACACATCCAGCCTTATATTTTGGTAGTCTAAATCATCACAAGAGACTTATTACTAATCTCTGCCTGTGGTTTCATTTCCTTCTAGTCCATTTCCCATACTGCTTCCTCAATGTTGACTAACCATGTCAGAATCCATTGTGATCTGACTCCTACCTCTGTTCAAAGCCATTGCTCCTTGCTTTTCCTGTCCTGCTGCCCTTTGTTCCTGCCACTTTGGGGAGGATATGTTTGACAGTTTACTGTGCCTTTCTATATATTATTCCTTCTCCATGGAATGCCCTATCCCAGCCTGGTTGTTAGTTTACAAGCCTGTGTCCTCAGCCAAAATATCAGTTCCTTAGGAACAGAGGTCTTGTCTTATCCCTTTTTTGTAGAAAAGAAATTTTAGTAACGTGCCCTTGACCTACACTGCTTGGGGTCTGTCTTAGTTCTGTCACCTCAGTAGCAGTGAGATCTCTGCAAGTTACCCAACATTTTTAAGTCTGAATTTCTGCTTCTGTAATGTGATTATAATAAAACCATCACCTCAGAGGTAGTAAGAACTTATTTACTATTCAGTTGACAGTGACTAAGTACCTACTTTGAGAAGGTATTATTCTTGGTGCTGGGAAATTAGAGGTGAACATTGCCTACATAGGATAGGAACAGAATGACAAACCTAACATGTAAAAACAATTCAGATAAGTGTATCAAAAGTAAAAGATAGGTAGTAACAGTAACTAGAGAAGACCTCTCTAAGGAAATGGCATTTGAGCTGAGTACCTGAATGAGGGGCAGTAACCACACAAAGATCTGAGGAATTGTTCAGACTGAGAGAGGACAGTGAGTTAAGGGCCTGAGATGGATTGAACTGGGATGTTTAAGAGATAGTCAGGATATGTAAGGCCTTGTAAGTAGTGGTGAAACATGGAATTTGCATTTGGGTTTTATTCCACTTCTGATGGGAAGGCATTGAAGAATTTTAAGCGGGAAGTGACCCGACTTAGATTATATAAGATCACTGGCTCCTCTGTGGATAGTGGACTGCATTTCCATCTCATAATAAGTACCCTAGAGTTGTTCAATGAGTGAATGACTTTACCGACTTGTTTTATGTTTTTTATCATTACAACACAACTGTCTCTTTCTGTATGCTATCTCTTTTTGTGCACTTACAGAGCGTTGAGTGGCCTCTCAAATACCCTCGGGAATTTGTTAGGATGGGCCTGACACAACCAAAGGGAGTTCTTCTGTACGGTCCTCCTGGATGTGCTAAAACCACACTGGTGCGGGCCCTGGCTACAAGCTGTCATTGCTCTTTTGTTTCAGTGAGTGGAGCTGATCTCTTTTCACCTTTTGTTGGAGATTCAGAAAAAGTCTTGTCCCAGGTTTGTTCATTTTAAGTTTACTTTTGAATTTTCATTTTCATGTCTTGCCTTAAGAATAAACCTTATTTTTAAAAATATTACTGTATTTCCCAATTAGAAAAGTTATACTTATTTATAGAAAATTTTTAAAATATTGGAAAGTCTAAATAAGAAAGCCTGCGAAATCCCTCTACCTATTGCTAATATTTTGGTGACTATCCTTTGTCTGTGTTCCCTTTTTAAATATAATTTGGGACAGATTACATCTTTATTGTGATTTTTAGAATTTAACATTATCACCTAAACATTCCATAACATTAAATATTGCTTGAAGTAGGATTCTTAACCCCTGCATTAGTTCTATGTTGTTATTTTATATATTCATTCCTCAATTCTTAAACATTTAGACTCTTTCTCTTTTTGCATTTTAAAAAAAATATGAATTTGCAGAAAACATACATTCACATCAATAATGTGTAATGTGTAACTTTTTAATACTCTTATTTTCCTAACAAAAGGTTTTTCGACAAGCAAGAGCAAATACTCCTGCAATTGTGTTTTTGGACGAAATTGATTCAATCTTGGGATCTCGATCAGTTGACAGAACAGACTGTAATGTTCAAGATCGTGTTCTTTCTGTTCTCCTGAATGAATTAGATGGTGTTGGATTTAAGACTACAGAGAGAAGAGGAAGTAAATCAGACCGACAGGGTAAACATAAGGAGCTGAAAAAAAATGAAGAGGTATTTATTAGTGAGAATATACAAAAAACCTCAAGCCAACATTAAATGGGATGCTTCTACACTACACTAATTTTTCCTATGCTGGATTCATCTTATAGAAGGAATGACATAAATTCAGTTTGACTCTGTATTTTTATAGAGCTGGTAAAAATTGTGATTTGCTAGAAAAGGTAAGGTAAACTTTTATAGTAATTGTTTTAAATAGATAAAAGTATGAATTTTATACTTCCTAAGATTTAGAAACATAACTTTACAGGTTACTAATGGAAAAAGGTATTTATTCCATATTCTGGAGAACCAGTGTTCATCCTGTCTAAAAATGTTTATGTGCGCAAAACACATTTTGATTTCCAATCATCTTAGTAGTTGGAATTTCCAGTTTTCTTGAGGAATGGCTTTCCTTGGTTATAATGAAATTTAAAAGACCTTTGAAAGTCTGCTTCCTCCCTTTTACTCTGTTCTGCAAAGAGAGTTTGGTGTGCTTACATCATCCAACAGGTATTTTTTCATTATTTGTTTCCCATTTTAAAAATTGCTCCATAGCGAGTCTTACTGCTGCTTAGAAAATGAGGCACTAGCACTTGAAGGGAGTCATGAGATTTCATAGTCAAATCTTCTGATAATGCAGGAATTCTACTTATAGCATTTGACCAGTATTCACCTGATCTTTGCTAAAATACTTGCAGATATAGGGAACTTACAAAGTATTGACTCATTAGAGAACTGATTATTCAATAATTTCGAGCATTTAGCATGTGTGCAAGGCCTGACCCTGATTGCTTTTAGTTAATTATCTTCATCTAGGATTTACATACCTGCAACATACATTATCATATTTCTGCCTTTGGAAAATAAAATAAATCTCCTCTTCCAGGACATGAGCACCAAGTCTTTTCATAGCTGTGCATCTCCGTGTGTTAGGCATATGGTTCTATCTTTATAAGTTATTTAGTTAGGTTGTAATCATTCACTGGGGCTTAGGTACATTCAGGTCACCGGGTAGGTGTTCTCTGTGGTGGTTTAAGGCTTTTGCTTGGTTCTCACAGCGAGATCTGAGATCTGTCCCTCAGGAGTGGCTATTCCCTCACCATGTGCACAAAGTAGTTTTTTAGTTAACTTCTTTCTAAGGTAATATCAAGGTGGTTTAGATAGTGGGTGTAAACATTCTGGTCCCAAACAAAGAATATCAAATTAGCCTTCTGATTTTTAATTTAAAAATTTTTAATAATTAGCTTATTGACATTCCTTTGTGTTATGTGTTTTCCCTCAGTTAGAGTGTCAAGAAATTTTTAATCGTAGCGTCATGATTGTTGCGGCAACAAACAGACCTCATGTGTTAGATGATGCCTTGTTACGACCTGGAAGATTAGATAAGATTATATATATTCCACCTCCTGATGAAAAGGTAATCATCATATATATTACAGTAGCTCCCCCTTATCCACACACCGTTTTGCTTTCTGTGGTTTCAGTTATTCTTAGTTAACCTCGGTCTGAAAATATTATGTGCCATAAGATATTTTGAGAGAGGGCCTCCCCGGTGGCGCAGCGGTTGAGCGCTGGGTTGCGAAGCTGCCCGCGGCCTCTGCGGCGCCAGTTCGATCCCCGGCTGCTCCCCAGCCACTGGAGGAGGGTCCCACATGGCGCGCAGACCTCTCCTGCCGCCCGCTGCTCCCCTCAGCAGTGTACTTTGGTCCTTCTGCCTGCTCTGCTCCCCGCTCTGGCTCTGGTGAATTCTCTCACCCTCCCGCGCTTCTGACTGTACCCAGTGCATGTATAAACAAAACAAATAAATAAATAAAACATGCCTCTATTAAAAAAAAAAAAAAAAGATATTTTGAGAGAGACTACAATCATTGAGCTATTATAGTATACTATTGTAATTATTCTTTTATTAGTTATTGTTAATGTCTTACTGAGCATAATTTATAAATGAAGCTTATCATAAATATCTGTGTGTAAAAACACACAGAGTTTTGCACTGTCCCCAATTTCAACACTGTCCCCAGGGATCCACTGGGGGGTCATGGAATGCATCCCCTGCAGAAAAGGGGGGACAGACTTTTGTGAGAATTCTTAATAGCACATTAATGTCTGAGCTCTAAGGAGCCCAGCAGAATTGAATCTCAACATGGATGTAGTGTGATTATGTTCATCTTACACTGGGTTCTGCCCTCTTCCTTGCCTGGTAGCTTTTCAAAAAATTATCATTTTGGTCTGATTTTCCTGAATACTCTGACCCTGTTTACAGAGAAATATATGCTTGAAAGTACAGTAGTAGTTATCAGTGTTGTGGCAGCCACAAAATACTGAGTTTGTTGCATTTACCCAACATTATTTTACAACTAGAAAAGACAAACCTAAAGTGTTAAAGGTGTTTACAAGATTTTGGGGGATTATCTGTGTCAGCATCCTTATTTTGCAGTGGAGAAATCTGAGATTACAGAGATTGCATAATATCTCCCCAGATAACAAAACAGTAAATTCTTTGCTCTTCACATCCAGAGCTACTGTCAGGAAGTGGTGAGAGACAAAGGATGAAGTATTTTTCTGCCTTGAACTTTTTGAAATTTTGAAGAAATGAAAGAAAACTTTTAATGTTAATTATATTTTACAGTTGTGTATGATAATTCATGTATTTACTTGTAAACCAGGCCTGATGATACTATTTGAAACCAAAAGAGAGATTCATCATGTCTTTTAAAAAGCTAATCTATGATTGGCTACTTTAATAATTAATTATAAAGGTATTAAAAGTTTACCAGGGTATCATTATTTTTACTACTGTCATATGAGCCATTGAATAGTTAATGTTTTTTTAATGTTTTTACTTCCTCAGAAATAATTCTTATTTGATTTTTAAATATATATATACTTTCTCTGTAATGTGGTAAAACAGAAATATTTTAATATAGTATCATATCAAACATAAATGTCATAAGCTTATAAACATTTTTTATTTTCCTCCAGGGCAGGCTTTCTATTTTGAAAGTCTGTACAAAAAATATGCCAGTTGGGCCTGATGTTTCCTTAGAAAACCTTGCAGCAGAAACCTGTTTTTTCTCAGGAGCTGATCTTAGAAACCTCTGCAAAGAAGTAAGTCAATTAGTGGAGAAACCTGTGGTTCAAAAAATTTCTTCGTTCAGATCTGTTCTCTTGTCAGTATTTAGTCAAAGACTTCTGTGTGGCAGGCACCAGGTGAGATGAAACATATATGGGGCCCTTTTCCTTATAGAGCTTCTAGGTTATAGGGACAGGGGGTACACAGAGGCAAATTGTAATACTTACTGAATTGGCACCTGAAAATGTGTAGTGAGGCTGGCAAGTTTATGGTGTTGTGTAGCTCCTAGGAGTGACACCAACCCAGACTTGGGGGCATCAGGAAGACTTTTCAAGGGAGGGCATGTGTAAACTGAAATTGGGAGGATGATTAGGGAGTTAGGCTAAGGGAGGGAAGGGGAGTATTTGAGGCAGAAGGAATAAAATGTGCAGATGATACGAGATAAAAGATGACATTACTGAAGACATGAACAATGCCCAGATCAAACAAGTCCTTGTAAGCGCCTTTAAGGAATTTAGATTTTATTTTGAAGGCCAAAGAAGTCATGATAGGGTTTTCCTTTTCCATATGCTTTTTATTACATTAAACATTGAGAAAAATATAAAGATCATAAGGATACATCCACTGAATCAACATATAAAAAGAACACAGTCATCACTACTTGGGTCAAGAAAAAGAATGCTGTCAACATCCCAGAAGCTTCCCTTGGGGCCTTCTCAATCTCCCTCCCAAAGGGAAATGCTCTCATCATTTGCAGCACCAGAGATTAGTTTTCCTGCTTTTGTACTTTATATAAATGGAATCATATCTCCTTTTCTGACTCAATTATGTTTGTGAAATTTATCCCTGATCTTATAACATTAGTTTATTCATTTCCATCACTTTATAATAGTTCAGAATTTGAATATACTATATTTATTTATACATTTTTACTACTTTTTTGTTATTATAAATTACACTGCTTGAACAAACTTAAATGTCTGTTGGTATATGTGTGTATATATGTCTGATTTTTATATGTATGTACCTTCATGAAGATTGTTGGATCATAGAGTATGTTTTTTATCTTTCCTTTATGATCAGTGCTGTGTCCTGTTTAAAACTCCTACTCTGAGATCAGGATGGTCTCTCATCTTTAAAATTTTATATGGGCTAATAATGTACATATTATTTTGTAGCTCGCTTTTTCTTTTTTCCTATTTAAGACTAATGTTTGGTGGAGAAGAGAAGATAGACTACTAAGAGGACTTATTTTTTTTTTGCTTAATTTTTTAGTGTCATGAATATTGGAATTCTATAAAGTCTAAGATTTTGCACTCACATTTTAAAGTTTTACGATATTGTAAAAAAATATTAAGCAAATGATTTTGTGTTGTTTGTCTCTTATAGGCTGCCTTGTTGGCTCTGCAAGAAAATGGACTAGATACAACCACAGTGACACAGGAACATTTTCTAAAATCACTTAAGACTGTAAAGCCATCTTTAAGTCAGAAAGATTTGACTTTATATGAAAATTTATTTCAGAACCAAGTATTTTCTAACTTAGAGGATATTTAAAAACAACTTACATTCCTTATATTCCTGCTCACAGATTGAGAATTGAACTTGCGCTGTAGTTTTGCATCTTAACCCTTTTGGAGTTCATGTGTAGTCCCTGTAAATTAAAAAAGCTTGTGCCTGATAAACTAAGTTTCATCTTATTTCTAAAAGATATGTTGAAGTGTCATAACTTAGGAAGAAAATGTATATATATGTATGTTGATTTTGTATTGGTGGTAGTAGTAGTTTTTGGTTGATTGCTTTTTTAAACTTTATATTGAAACAATCTCATCCTTACAGAAAAATTTCAAAAATAGTACCAAAAACTCATGTACTCTTAATCCAAACTTACCAGTTTTGAACATTTTGCGCTATTTTCTGTCTCTCTGCTTATATACACAATAGTGTTTTTCTGAACTATTTTAAAAATAGATTTTACACATCATGCCCTTTTACTTCAATACTTTGATGCATATTTCTTACAAATGAGGCTATTTTCTTATATGCCCATATGCAGTTATCAAATTCAGGAAATGTAACATTGATATATATTTTAATCTGTCATCCAATGAATTTCATCCATTATTCCAATAGTAATTTTTTTCCCCATGACAGATCCAGTGTAGGATTATACAGTCCCTTTAGTTGCCAAGTCTGTAGCTTCATTGAATCCAAAACAGTTCCTCACTCTTTCCTGACCTTGACATTTTTTTAAGAATACAGAATCTGGGCCTCTCTGCTGGCCTAGGAGTTAAGTCTCAGCACTATCACCACAGCCTGAGTTAGATCCCCAGCCAGGGTACTAACCCACATATGGCTCAGCAGACTTCTCCTGTCTCCAGCTCACTGCTCCCCTCAGCAGTGTATTCCAGTAAATCTGCCTGGTTTGCTCCCTACTCTGTCTCTGGTGAATCCTCTCACCCCCTGCATCTTTGGCCTATGCCCCAGCTCTTCTGTGCAATCAATCAATAAATCTTTAAATAAAACAGTAAAGAGAATATTGTTGACTTTAAAAAAAATACAGAATCTAGAACAGTTGGTCCCTGATTTGTGTTTATGTGATGTTGCCTTGTGATAGGTGCAGGTTAGCCTTCACCAGTGGAGACGTCATCAGAAACACAGCTGAAGGCACCCATGGGACATCTGCACAATATTGGTGATGTTGATTTGGATTACTTTGTTTATGGTATTGTCCATTTTCTCCACTGTTTACTGTTTTTCCGTTTGTAAGTGTAAAGTAATTTTAAGGAGATAGATTATATGTCTGTTTTTCCTTTATAACAAGGGTAATTAGAATGCTAAAAAATAAATATGAAGAAAACACTTGGATATTTAACTTTCTGGTCCCTTCTCATATGGAGATATTTTTTATTTTATTTTATTTTATTTTTTTAAAAGATTTATTTATTTATGCATACAAGAACCTGGGTACAGGCCAGATGTGTGGGAGGGTGAGAGGATTCACCAGAGCCAGAGTGGGAAACAGAACAGACAGACTGACGAAATACACTGCTGAGGGGAGCAGCAGGCACGACAGGAGAGGTCTGCCACGCCATGTGGGACCCTCGCCGGCCGGCCAGGATCAAACCGGTGCTGCAGAGGCTGCGGACAGCTTCACAGCGCCGAGTTCAACTGCCTGTGCCACCAGGGGAGGCCCTGGAGATATTTTTTCAAAACAAAAAGGCATGATACTATAACTCTTAATTTGTTTTTCTCCCCTAACAGTATCTGATAAACACCTAACTGAGCCTTCACACAAAGTGCTGGCAGTGTAAGTGAATGAGACAGATGTGGTACTGGTAGGCAGCTGGGAGCACAGACCTCACACATACCATGCAATGAATTAATAACAAGGATATATGCTTCAAAAGAAGTATAGTGAATGGTAAGAGCGTAGTGCATGAAATAGGTGAAGGCATAAATGGTAAGCAATTGAAAAGTTTGCTATTCTAACTGGAGCCAGGACTGTTGATTAAGCAAAATCTCACTATTTGGGATTAAATAGGGAAAAGACTTGTTTTATTTATAGGGATTAACAGAATTTAATCAAAATTATTCTAACTGACTCCTTTTGCATATTAGGAGAAATAGCTAGAAAACATAATAGAATTTTGATAATTTTCATTCATGTTTATTCTTGGTTACTGATTCTTTAAGACAAGACAGCTGTTAAGCCTTTACCATCTCTGGACTTGAGGCATCCTGGCCAAAACCTCGTAACTTGGAATCTCCTGATGGGGCTCTTGTTTTTTTCATAGAGTGCCGGAGTCCAGCTCCGACTGGGACTGGGTTTCCGTAAGGACGAGACGGCGCTAGGCGAAGTGAAGGGATGAAGGGAGAGGGAATGAGGAGACACAGACACTTGATAGGGTGCAAGTATCTCCCACTGATAGCCTCAGTGGGGCTTTATTTATAACCTCAGAAATTGTTATGTGATCATTACATCATACAATCATGATTGATTTTAATTGTACATTGTTTCAGAAATTATTAATGATCATTAACAGTGCACAATCCTTTTTCTATTTTTCCTAGTCTATGATTAACTTGGTTACATTAACTTGGTTACATATTTCCCTAGGTAATGTATATTATTCAGAGAATAGAAACAGGTGCAATACGCAACATAATTTATGCAGTCAAGCTAGATAACTAAAATAAAGCTAAGCAGGCATTGTAAAATCGAAGGCGGCTTCCTATTTTCTATATAGAACCAAAGTGTCCCGGTGCCATGGGAACAATATGTGGGTGCTTTCTCCCAGACCATTTCGCCTCCCGGGGCGCCTCAGGGCCCTCTCCAGTGAGGGACTTTTGCCAGGCTCGATTCCAAGAGCTTTGTTAAGCATGGCTTGCTAAAGAACTCAGTGTTACTCATAGTAACAGAATTATAAATTGGAGGACATGGAGGAATATTGGAAACTGTTTCGCCATCAATCATGTTAGAAGGTACTTTTCTCAAACTACTGAGGTGTGCATTACCGAAACTGGCATTGATGCCAACACTCATTGTGTTAGTCTAAAACTTATAGAAAATTTCAATGGTTTCAATAACTGCCACAAACAAATGAAAGGAAGTAGCAGGAGCCAGCTATGGAGATTTCTGACTTTTCAGAAACCTTCCTCATGCCTGGACCTTGTCAGACAGCATGAGTTTCCTGACTTTTCAGGAGTTTTCCCTCATGCCCGGACCTTGTCAGACAGCATGAGTAGCATGGCCCGCGCCAATAGAGTTTCTAGTGGTCAGACTGGAAATTTAGTGCCCACACTTTAGAGGCTGAGTTTTGATTTGAAAATGTTGTTATAACTTCTCCACAGAATTTTGAAAGCCCCCTGAGGACAAAAACAATGTATTGTTTCTCACTGAAATAATAATTGCTGAAGTGATTTGAGGATGACTAAGCAAGTTTCAAAAACTGTTCTAATCAGTGAAAAAATTAAAACACTTTAGCTTCCAAGCACCTGGGAAGTATGAATAGCTTTCTCTGTACCCTAAACTCAAATTACTTTCTGAGTCACATTAACAGCCTTAAGCAATATGGTACATCCCCAGACGTTGCAAAATTCAGCAAATCCAGTATTTGCTAAACCTGGTAAGTAGGCAGTCACTAAAGGATGTCTTCATATAAATATACTGAATATACTGATGTCTTCATATAAATATACTGAATATATATATATATATATATATTCAGTAATATTTGGGTTTTTTCTGTCGGGTGCCAAATTACTTTATTTGAAGGAATGGTACAAATGAAAGATTTAAGTAGATCTTTTGGTACAATTTATAAAAAAGGTAAAAGTAACCTCAACATGCATGCACTGCCTTGGTGACTAGGGAAATCACCCCTGGCTATGGGAAGCCAACCTAGGCTTAGTTTACTTCACTTTCTCCCAGGGTGTGCTCCTCATGCCACATTGGGGGACCGTCATCTTGCTCAACTTGGTTGTGTGGTCAGGTCACCCAATTCTTTGATGAATTTCACCTGCTCATTCAGGTGCTGAGTCTCCAGGAAGTCACCAAATGGGGCTTATGGCAGTGGCCAGTTCGAGCTATTCCAGTAGTGACTGATTCAGGCTATTTTTCTGAGTGTAACGCGTACTGTTGCATTCTGAAGGACTTGCCATCCTGAGGGAAGATCCTGTTGCATTCTGAAGGACTTGCCATCCTGAGGGAAGATCCTGCCACCTTGCTGGTGCTGCAGCTTCATCAGTTTCTCAGCATGTTCCCTCTCCTCCTGAGATTGGTGAAGGAAAGACTTGGCAAAGTTCTTCATTGCAGTCGAAGTAAGACAGGCAGGCAGGCAGGAGGGTTGGAGCTTAAGGGAAATCTGGCGGTTGACGGTGGTAGCTCTGGTGCACGAGGAGCATCAGGAGCATCCCGGAGGAGCGCGCGGGGTGCAGGGGTCTTGGTGGTTGCGCAGGGCTGGGGTATCCTTTCACCCTCCTCCCCTCCAGGGCGCTGTGGGTAGGTGGAGGTGGGCTGACCTTGCGAGGGCGCCGGGGAGGCTTGCAGGACTAGCCAGTTCAGGGCGAGCACTGTTACAGCAGGAAATTGCGGCGTCTCTCCGTGAAGACTGGATCCTGTTTTCTTAGAAAGCCTGGGCTGGACTGACAAAGAGGTAACTTTAACATCTCTGTAGTGGGAACCAAGTAGCCTTGTCCCTGCGATCCTGGGTGGCAACAGCTGGAGAAGGTTCTGGGAGGAGGGAATCTCTCACATTGGAATAATGGGCTTCGGAACAGCCACAGGGGGTGATGCTGGAGAGTGGCCAGAGCAGGTTCCTTTGGGGGCTGCAGTGGTTTGAAGGGTGGGGGCTGTGCCCCTGTGTCCTGGGAGACCAAGCTGCAATCCTTGCCTCTGCCACAGGCTCAGTACACCTGGGCACTAACCCAGCGGGGGGGGGGGGGGGGGCGGGGGGGGGAAGCACTGGCTTTTTGGGTTCGACTTTGTGCACATAGAAATAAGCATAACTTAAAGGTTATATGGGCACATTACCTGTAACTATATCCAATTTGTGGATTTTTTATAAAACAATTTATTCTGAACATTTGTTACATTGTAGTGTAACAAATTACCACATGCCTTGTCACCTAAGTTGAATAATCATCAATATTTTGCTAAATTTGTTTTGTTTTTTAGAAAAGTATTTTATTTATTTTTATTTTTATTTATTTTTTATTTTTATATTCCCCATACAATTGCAACCCCCTTATTTTGACCCCAATCCCTCCTTCCCCCTCCCCACCCCCCATAGTTTGTCTCTGGTTCATAGTTGTTTGTTGATTTTGATTTTTTTCTTTCTTATAGTTATTCTTTTTCCTGGTCCCTTATTTAGGTTTTCTAGGTTCCTGCTATGAGTGAGACCATCCGCTATTTTTCTTTAAAAAAGTATTTTCAAGTAAATCCAAGAGGACCTATCTCTCCCTTAAATATTCACATATGTGTTGTGCCCAAGATCAGCAGACTCCGCGAGCATAGCCTCCAAGAACCCAAAGAGGGCCGATGCAAACACAAAAGGGAGCTTATTACAGACTCGAGTCCGGGCTCATGGCACCTACCAATGCAGTGGCAGATATTGAGAGCCCCGATCAAAGGAAGCAGGGGTCTTTTGTAAGGTCAAATCATGCTGGCAGTTATTCATTGGCTACAAGGATGCGTTCTCCAACTTTGCCCGGCTATTCTTCTAAGCTGACTGGCCCAGTGGAGATGCAGCTCCAACATGCAGCTCCAGTTACAGCAAGTTCACCCTCCTTGGTGACTGGAGGGCGAGGGTGGAGTGAGGGTCAAAACTGTCGAAACTATCTCTGGAATGCAGTCGTCTTTCCTGGGACAGCAAAACCTAAAATTCTAAAATGGCAGTTACACACAAAATGACAAAGCGATGGCTAAGAATACTTATGCTTGGTTCCACAATATGCAGTCTCTTAAAAGGGGGCTTTTTGTTTGTTTTTAGCATAACCATAACATCGTTGTCACACCTAACAAAATTAACAACACTCCCTTCAAGTTCTTGATCTTAATGTATTTGATTTCTCTAATTGCCCCCAAAATACCTTTTTACAATTGGGTTGTCTTTTTGTTCAAATAAATACCTTCAATTTGGTGAATTTTCTCAGACTCCTTAGTTGGAATTAGTCACCTGTGTTTAGCACCAGGTGTTGCCTGGAGTTAGCTATTTATGGGTTCTAAATTGTAAGATCCTTGAAGTAGGGAATTTGTGTCTTACTAATCTTTTTACCTTACTGTGCCTCCATCCTTAACTTGCAAGGATGTCCAGACTAGGACAACATAGTATTGCATTTTGAAAAGAAATGACATTGGGGAGCAAGGATGAGTTGATGATTATTTGTAGGCTAGTGCTACACATTTTAATTTTAACTTGGAGGCCATAATACATTCCTGTAAGATTTCTTCTGTCCTCTCTTCCTTCTTCCCTTCCTTCCCAGAATAACTTATCTTTAAATTGTCAAAAAAGATTAGACTTTTTTTTACATCCACAAAGTATCTTGAAATCCTGCAGAAGGAACATTAAAAGGCTCCTCTGATTCTATTGAATAGAAACCAAGGAGAACTGATGTTGAACTTTCTTTGAAGCATCTGATGGAAATCTAACCAATTGGCAAATAGCTGCAATTACAGCTCTGGGATTACATGGTAAGAACCCTTGTCAGAATAAGTGGGGGAAGGATATTCCTGGTGGCCCTAGGGGTTAAGAAGCAACCTATGAAGCTATCTGCAGCTTCTGCAGCACGAGTTTGATCCCTGGCTGGCCAGGGAGCAGCCCACGTGGCGCTGCAGACCTCTCCTGTCTCGCCCACTGCTCCCCTCAGCAGTGTATTTCAGTCAATCTGCCTATTCTGCTCCCCACTCTGTCTCTGGTGAGTCCTCTCACCATCCACACTTCTGACCTGTACCCCAGTTCTTGTATGAATAAATAAATAAATCTTAAAAAAAAAAAAAGAATAAGCGGGGGAGAAGTTGCATTCATGATCTGCCTTTGCAAATAATTATTTCTTGGATGCCTACTGTAGGGTAAAGAAAATATCAGGCTTTTCTGCCCTTCCGCCATCAGGATAGATGATGGATCCTTGTCCTGAATGCATGCCTGATGGCGGGCACCTGGAGTAGGGTGTGGGCATAGGTAGATGGGATTCAGCTGAGCTAAGACTGTGCTTTTTAAGGGCGGCGTCATGTGGGGAACGCCAGCAGCAGCAGCAGCAGCAGCAGCAGCAGCAGCAGCAGCAGCAGCAGCAGATGAAGCCAAAAGAGAAGCCGAGAAGCAGCAGAACGAACGCTAGAGAGCCCAGATAGAGTGAAGACTTGCTGGGGGCTGGGAGGCCTGCCAGCCTCCCAGCCCCCCAGCCAGCACTCCTGCCTGCCATATGCCTGGTGAACCCCAAATAAAAAAACCTGCAAAACTACTGAGGACTCTGATTCCTCCTTTACCCGGTCTGCATGGGATCAGAAAACCTGAACTGTGTCCTGGTCCTGCCCTTACAACCAGCACTTGAGTTATGATCTGGGAGTGCTGGCAAAACATGTAAAATTATGGAACTGGATCACTCTTAACTCCATACACAAAAGTAAATTCAAAATGGAGTAAATATTTGGATGTAAGACCTGACACCATAAAATACAAAAGACAGGTGACCTCACTCCATGACATCAAGGGTAGAGATGTCTTTGGAATTTGATCCCAACAGTAAGGAAAATGAAAACAAAAATAAGCAATTGGGACTACATCAAATTAAAAAGCTTTTGCACAGCAAATAAAAAGCTATCAACAGATTAAAAAGACCACTGAACAGGAAAAGGTATTTGCACAAGACACATCTGATAAGGAATTACTATCCAAGGTATATACAAAGTAACAAATTTAACAATCTCTAACAACCAAACAACTCAGTTAAAAAAATGAGAAGATCTGAATAGACACTTTTCCAAAGAAGATCTACAGATGACCAATAGCGTATGAACAGTGTTCAACATCACTTACTAGGGAAATGTGAATCAAAACCACAATGAAATATCATGTCACACCAGTGAGAATGCTTTACAATAAAAAGATTGTTAACAAGAAATGCTAGCAAAATGTGGAGAAAGAGGAACCTTTACACACTGTTGTGGGAATGTAAATTGATGCAGTCATTTTGGAAAGTGGTATGGGCCTTCCTCAAAAAAATAAACAGAACTACCATATGAGACAGCAATTCCACTTCTGGGTATCCATCCGAAGAGGATATGTAGCCATCCATCCATCCAATGGAAAAGTATTCTGCTGTAAGGAAAGATAAAAGTTTGCCATTTGCAGCAAAAAAATGAGAGGAACTTGAGATCATACAAAACAAAATTAGGAAGAAAAAAAATAGTGGATGATTTCACCTGTTTGGGCTATGTAAGAAAATAAAGTAGACAATGGACAAAACAAAATAAAAATAAACCGGTGAACACAGATAACGGAAATGAGGTTAATGGAGGTGAAGAGTGTTGGTGAGTGGAAACAAGTGTGGAGGAGGTATAATGGATGGTGATGGGTGTTTTTCTGTTTGGTTTGGTTTTTCCTTTAAAAAGGAAGTCAATAGCTAGCACATGGAAACTAACCCAGTGCCTACTGATAGAGGACTGGATCAAGAAAATGTGGTACAGCCACACAATGGAATATCATTCTGCCATAAGCAAAGATGAAATGTTGGCCTCTACAGCAAAAAGAGAAGGAGTTGGAGGGAATTATGCCCTAAAGTCAGAATAGCAAAGACAAACACTGGACATTTATAAAGCCAACAATTGGACGAAGCGAAATACCTATAAAAACTGGAAGATGCTAGTCAATGAAGTGAGGTTTCTGATGCTAAGAAAGAGGGAGTTTGTGGGGAGGGAAAAAAAGGGCAAAGGGATATAAGAGATGGTGGTGGGGAAATAAATAAAATTTCAAGTTCACTTTAAAAAATTAAAAATGTAATTGGTTTAAAATAACTAGATTTAAAATAACTAGATTCAGTAGCTAACAGCCAGGTGCAGAAAGACCTGTGATGTTGGGTGCTTAACAGTCCCGGATTCTGATCACATCTCTACCTCTTACTGACTTGGGTGTCTCTGAGCCTAGATAACACACTCACCCTGCAAAAATGTTGAGAAGCTTCTGGCACAGTGTCCATCACGTAGGTTCTGGCATAGCAGGGTTGCTGAATCATTATTTCGGTGGTTTTGCAGCTGCCTGCATGCTCTGTGCAAGGTGAGGCTGCTAGCTTAGGGGCAAGTTAAAAGGGGAGCTCAAGATGAACTCTGTTTGGGTAGTCTCAGAGGTTTTTCTTGGAAACCTTTCCAGCTGATCCTTCTGTTTCTTCTCCCTCATCTCCTGATTTTTTTTTTTTAAATGGAAAAAATCAGGAGATCATGGGAGCGATGCTGAAAGGAGCTTTAGAATTTAATTTTAGGGGCCTCCCTGCTGGCGCAAGGGGTTAAGCACCGCACTATGAAGCAGTCCTCAGCCTCTGCAGCACAAGTTCAATCCCGGCCGGCCAGAGAGCAACCCACATGGCATGGCAGACCTCTCCTGTCTCACCCGCTGCTCCCCTCAGCAGTGTTATTTCAGTCAATCTGCCTGTTCTGTTCCCCACTCTGTCTCTGGTGGATCCTCTCACCCCCCTATATCTCTGGCCTGCACCCCAGCTCTTGTATGCATAAATAAATAAATCTTTTTTAATTAATTTTAATTGCATGCATTTGTGTGCTAGCTCACATTTTTGGAGCCTTTCATGTGATTAGATCAATTCTAATTTACCTGCTACACCTGGGAGCCTCCCTGGTACCCGGTTCCTCGGCTCCCTTTCCGAATCCCGTTTTAGAGAAGCTCTTTTTCGGCAGCACCTGGTTGTCAGGTGCCACCCCCTGGAGGGCGGAAAGGCTGCCTGGGAGCTTTGACCCTCAACGCCCAGCCTCAGCTCCTGTCGCGAGGCGGGTAAGAACCGCGGGGAGCGCCAGGGGGCGCCAGGGAGTCGGGCCGCGAGCGGGGAGTCAGGTCCCCACCCGCAGCTCGGCCCGCGTGACCCGACGACCCCGCCCCGCCCCTCCGAGCGGTTGCGGCCCCCCGAGATTCTGGGCGTTAACCTCCTCTGCGCGCGCCGCCCCGCCCAGGTGAGGACGCGGTGGCACCAGCCCCAGTTGGCGCTTGGAGGCCGTGGAGAGGTTTGACCCTCCCCAGCTTGGGTTCTAGAGGCTGCAGGTTGATCAGCATCTGGGATTTTACTTCTAGATTAGGCGTTCTCCGCTGAGGTCATCATGAACTTTTTCCAGCTCCTGATGAAAAAGAAGGAAGTAAGTTTTCATTGACTATCTTGACTGGAAATGTTGATTTTTATAGATGAAAAAAGATGGTGTAGATCTCGAAGTAGAAAATGACAGGTAGCTAACGGGGATGTTCACCCACAACCTCTTCTTTGTCAGCTTATTCCTTTGGTGCTGATCATGACTGCCGCAGCGAGTGGAGCTTCGTCTTTTGCTGTATATTCCCTTCAGAAATCCGATGTGATGTAAGTAGGCCTCTTTTATTATTTTTTTAAAGATTTATTTATTTATACAAGCACTGGGTACGGTCAGAAGCGCGGGAGGGTGAGAGAATTCACCAGAGCCAGAGCCGGGAGCAGAACAGGCAGAAGGACCGAGGTACACTGCTGAGGGGAGCAGCGGGTCTGTGCTCCATGTGGGACCCTCCTCCCGTGGCCGGGGAGCAGCCGGGGATCGAACCGGCATCGCAGAGGCTGCGGGCAGCTTCGCAACCCAGCGCTCAACCGCTGCGCCACCGGGGAGGCCCCAGTAGGGCCTCTTTTAGAAAAACCTCTTTTTCAAGGTTTGGTCTTCGGTTTTATGAAATGCATGTCATTTTCCTAGTCCTCACTTCCAACCACCAAGATAAGAATGTCAAATTGTGAACTTAGAATCCGGGCTGGAAAGCATCCTGATTACCGAACTATTAAATTATGATATTGGTAACACTAGTTTGTTCCTTGTATTTAAACATCCTTTCATCCACTGGCCTTCTACCTCTTCTGCAGCGAAGTTTGATTTTTTTTTTGACTTTGGGAGTGAAAAGTTCTTAAATGGTCTCTTGAGATTTTTATCATCAAAGAAATCATTGTAATGAAATTTTCAAATTTCAGTTTTATGGGAAAGGTCTTTCCTAATGTGGTAGAGCTTATGCATTCAGTTGTCTGCAGTGTCAGTTCTGGGTACGAAAGGGTAAAATGCTGTGTTTCCTGGAATATGAAGAAGAGATAGACTTGAAAATGATCTTGACCGGGTCAGTGCTGGAAAGGGCGGTTTTGGTAAGATCTGGAAGAGGAATCTAGGACAATGCAGATCACCAACTACATAGTTCAAGACCAGCTCTTCAGCCCACTCCAGAAAACAGGGAAAGATCACTTTTGCTTGCTCTTAGACTGGGACTTCTACGCACATTGCTGTTCAGCTTATGGGAACATTCTCTAGTCCAGCACAATAAAGGGACCTCCACAGCCCTCCTACCTAGGAAGGGACTTGGTTCTTAATGTTTAAGCCAAACTGTGAAGCTCCCTTAATGAATCTTCCATCAGTTTCAGTTAACTACTAGATGAATGGCTAAGTATGCAGACAGTCAGTCCCCAGCAAGTTTATATACCCAATATCTGAGTTGGTTTAGATTTGCTTGCTTTTATGTAATCAGTTTTCTTTTATTTTCAGCATTGATCGAAAAAAAAATCCAGAGCCTTGGGAAAATGTGGATCCTAATGTACCTGGAAAGGTATTGCTAAACTAAAAAGTGACTTCATTTAGCATAAGACTAAGCATCCTTGCGAGCAAAATAGGTGTAATGCTATTTAGTGTAGTGTTAGAGAGTTTTGGAGACCAAGGATCAAATTCTTGTTCTAGGTGATTTTAGCCACAGGTGATTTTAGACGAGTTGGCCTTTCTGAGGCTCTCAGAATTTACTAAATGGGCACAGTAATGGGGCTTTGCCTCAGATTTAAGAGGTTTAAACAAGATAAAATACATAGAGCCTGGCCCAGCACATTACCTGGCCCTTAGTAAGCTCTCAAATGATAACTTTTGTCATGATTGTCATATATTATCTCATTTTACCCATTATCTAAAGTAAATACTATCATGAATAATAACAGGAGCTCTTGAAAACAGGGGTGGCAACCTCTAAGCAAAGTTATCTAATATCTACTTTTATGACTATCCTAAAGACTTTTTACATTTTTATTATTTTGAAAGTAAGAAACATTGCGTTTATTGGAATGAATACTACTTAGGTCTGTCAGGAAAGCTATGTTTTCAGACAAAACTTTCAAAGTTTTAAATAGTAGGTTTTTACCTACTGAGAACATATTTGATCTTTAAAATTACCTACATTTCCTAGATCCTGGGGTAATAGAAAACTTATAAGGGTAAATGAAAATCTCTGAATGTGAGTTCTTTGGAAATCAAGAGCTGCCCGTGGTTCTGCTCATTTCCTTTATTGCATAACTTAGCTCATTTGTAACTTTATTGCATATTACAAAGAGGAAATTTTGTAAAGAGCCTACAGTGTTCCAAACCCCATCCTTGGGGCATTATATACCACCCAGTAATGGGAGCAGCCAGATTTTTTTAACTTCCAGTTCACATAAGGCATGGGAAGTTCAAAAATTTAGAATCTGTTAAGTGAATCTGGGACAAAGGCCTATGACCTTGCTCTCTGATCCTGAAACAATCAGGCGCCGGCCGTAAGGCTTTTAGAAGAAGGAGTGACAGAAACCGACCTGTATTACTATTTTGTGCATGTTTTAGAGATGGGAAGAGGTGATTCTTTGACTCCAGATGCTGTGGTGATGCTTTTTCTAAAGAGAAATGTAGACAAATCCTAACATGGTTGTGGGTGTGAAGAACAGGTCCTAACAAAAAATTTTTGTTTTGCCTTTTTTTAAAGCTTATCACAATTAACCAACAATGGAAGCCCATTGAAGAGTTGCAGAAGGTTCGGAGGGCAACCAAATGATCAACTTTTGCCATTTCTTCTAATGAGAACTCTATGAATCTAGTGGAAAGATTTCTGTACAAACTAGATTATGGAAACCAGTGTGCGGAAATGCTTCTGCTACATTTTTAGGGCTTGCCTACATTTTCAGACTGCGGATAAATAATAAAGGTGTGCAGCAATAACCAATAGCAATAACATATTCTAAAACTAAGTATTTCGTGGTTTTTTTTTGTTGTTGTAAATTTGAATTTTGCATGTTGATTTTTTTTTGTTTATGATACCTGAATGTTTTCCTTAAAATGCATAAAGATTTGTAATTTTGTCTATAGTAAGATACTACTTGTACAAGATTTCTTAAAGACTAGATCCACACTCAAATGAAGGCAAATTTTTTTGGGGGGAAAATAACACATTTTGAATCATGGAGCTTCATCTTTTAATTAACATCCAAAGCAAATTTCTGTGTAAACTTTTCCATGCTGTTCATTTACCAGACATTTATTTAGCACCTACTGTTATTGAGACACTGTTCTTATATAGGTAGATAAGCCAAATTTTGGAGAGAGATGAAAAAAGATGGTAAGTACAATCAGGAAAATGAAGTGGTGATGAGTATGAAACATGTATGAAGTTTAGTCTTAGAGGAAGTGCTGGGATTCTGGTGGTGAATAGAAATGTGGGACTTGCCAACATTGGCCCTACTGATGCCAAAGCTTACAGAGTGCTCCTCTGAGGACTGGACAGGGGGGAATGGAGAGCTTTTCCAGCATCCACCAGAGTCTGGGACTACTCTTCACATGGCCGGTGGTGATTGTCTGTCCTTGAAAACAGGACCAAATAAAAACTTGATTTTCAGATATTTTTAATTAGCTATAGTTCACATACAATGGTATTCATTTAAAGTACACAATTCAGTGGTTTTCACAAAGTTTTGAAGCCATTTCCACCTTCTGATTCCAGAACATCTTCATCTCTTCCCAAAAACCCTGTACCCACTAATGCATTCCCCCATTCCTGAACCCTCTGTTTCCAGCCCCCAGGGAAATACTAATAAACCTTATCTCTAAGGACTTGCTTATTCTGGACATTCATATAAATGGAATCACACACTATGTGGCCTCTATGTATGGCCACTTAACGTTTTCAAAATCCATCTATGTTGTACCATGTATCAGTAACTCATTCTTATGATTAATAACCTATTATATGGATATACCATATTTTGCTTACCCATCAGTTGATGGACATTTATATTTGTGTCAACTTTTTGACTTATGAATAATTCTGCTGTGAGAAGTCACGTACACAAATTGTTCAGCCAAATCTTTGTTGCGCATGCATTTCCAATTCCCTTGGGTATATACCGCGGTCATTTTTAACTCAGATAAAGGTGATAAATGTCTTTTTAAAATTTTCCATTTGAATATAGTAAAATTTGAAGATAAGGGCTAAATTCTTATCACTCTCAGCGCTATAAAAAATAAAAATAGGGGAACCAAATAAGGGATCAGGGAAAAAAACAAAACAATAAAAAAATTAGCAGGCAACTATATATCAGACTCTGCAAGGGAGGGGAGGCAGAGGGCATCAAAATGGGAGGTAGAGCACAAGGGACTGTGGTGATGGTGCACTGGTGAATTGGTGGGAATTTTATGGGGACTATATCTGAGAGGAGAAAGTATACATTGTACAAAAATGAACAATATATAAAAAAAATTATACCCCCCAAAAAGCTATTCTTGCTAGAGATATGGCAATTCTGAAAGGATTAAAGCACTACTACTTCTACCTACATTTGTTAGTTATCACCTCAGGTTTTCCCAGATGAAAATCTATGGTTAATCTCAAGGAATTACTTGTACTAATTAGGAAGTCCAATTTTACTTGCTTTATGCTTCTTAAGTGCTGGTTGGCCAACTAGAAGAGCAAATTGCTGAGGGTTTTGTGAGGGATGACTATGCCTTTTGACTTTAAAACACAATCTGAGTGGAAAGCTTTGGTATTAAGGGGTGGATGTGACAATTGAAGGTATCAGCAGCAGGTTTGGGAGGGAGAAAGAGGAAAATAAAAAGATTTATTAATGTCTTTATTGGTTGGCATTTTTTGCCAAATGTTTGAAAATTTTGAACTTGTAGAAATTTGAAAGACTAGTACAAAGAGTACTCACATTTTTATTAACATTTTGTCACATTTCCTGTGTCTCTGTGTATATTATGCTTTTTTAAAAAATGAGCTCTTTGAAAATAAGTTAGACATCATAAAGCTTTTTTAAAAAATTTTAAAAAAAGATTATCTATGCATACAAGAGCTGGGGTGTAGGCCAGAGGTACCAGAAGAGAGAGGATTGACCAGAGACAGAGTGGGGAGCAGAACAGGCAGATTCACTGAAATACTCCTGAGGGGAGCAGCGGGAGAGACAGGAGAGGTCTGCTGCGCCATGTGGGTAGCTCCCTGGCCAGGGAACAAACTTGTGCTGCAGTGGCTGCGGATAGCTTCATAGGTTGCGTTTTAACCCCTGTACCACCAGGGAGGGCCCATAAAGCTTTTTATGCTTAAGAAAAAAGGCATTTATCTGACTAATAATATTATCATCCCTAGGAAGATTAACATTAATTCAGTAATATCACCTTACACACAACCCATTTTCTTAAATTATAGTTTCCTTTATTGCTGTATTTTTAAGTCCAGATTCCAATGCAAGGTTCACTTGCTGCATTTAGTTGCTAGGTTGCTGTACTGAGTACTTGACAAATGTGTGCTCATGGAAGTGTCTCCAAAGCCCTGTGTGTCAAACTACTCTCTACAGAATATGATCTGGATAAGATTCTCTTGGATATGGACTTTATTTTTTTTCATTTTTTTTTAAAGATTTATGTATTTATTTATTTATACAAGCACTGGGTACAGTCAGAAGCACGGGAGGGTGAGAGAATTCACCAGAGCCAGAGCGGGGAGCAGAGCAGGCAGAAGGACCGAAGTACACTGCTGAGGGGAGCAGCAGACACGGCAGGAGAGGTCTGTGCGCCATGTGGGACCCTCGCTGGCGGCCGGGGATTGAACCGGTGTTGCAGAGGCTGCGGGCAGCTCCGCAGCCCAGCGTTCAACCGCTGCGCCACCAGGGGAAGCCCTGGATGTGGACTTTAAACTTTTAAAATTTTAGATACAATATCACATTTTTATGTAATTTAAATACTTAAGAATTTGTACAGTTACTGAGCACTCACTGTGTGGTAGGCATTGTGCTGGCTTCCAGAATCTGACACAGGAAAGGGAAATGCAGTTATGAATAAATCAAAACAATAGAGTGATGGTAAATTAAGGGTGAAAATGAGTAAATGGTACAAAGGAAAGCTTCCCAAAGAAGGTGCATCCTTGAGCAACTAATCAGTCTAGTTTCTTGAAAAACCAAGGCAATTGAAGTTGAGGCGCCTATTTACCAAGGCATTAAGGCAACTTAGTTTAATGCAAGGCATTCTGGAAACTTAGTTTAATGCATGAAATTTAATATTGATGCAGAATAGATGGAATGTCTAGGGCTTTTTATGCTGTCATCCTGTAGGTACACTGAGTTTTAAGTTGGGGGAGATAATACAGTTGTGGGGGTGGGTATTGGCTATAGCAGCTAGAGGAGATGAATGTGCTCTGGAAGAGACCATGGTTGGAGGTGAGAGACCAGTCAGTGATCCAGGCTACAGGTGGTGAGGAACGTGATAAAACTCCCCCTCCAAAAAAAAGGAGGATACATTTGAGAATGGTAAGAAATAAGTGAGAGGACCTCAAGGTTTATTGGTTATAACTGGGAGATGTCCAAAATGACTCCCAAGTTTCTCACCTTAGTAGCTTGGCATTGGTGGACAGAATACAGGAGGGAAAAAAAAAGAGAGAAATGTTTGAGGGAGGAGTTGATAAGATATAAAGTGGGTTAGGCTTTGGAATTGTTGCCGAGGACAACCCAGTGAGTTATCTAGGTAGATTACTTCTGGAGAACCGCAGGAACATGTGAGCTGAAGATTGCATAAAAAAATGGTACCAAGGGCTTGGATGACATTGTCTACAGAGGACAGAGTGCATCTAAAGCGAGATGGAGACTGAGCAGAGAGGAACATCATCCTGAAGGACATGGGCAGAGAAAGAATATCAGCTCTGATCTGGATGGGGACTGAGAGAAATGGTTAGGGAAGGAGAACCAGGAGGCATGTCAGGGAGCCCAGAGAAGAAAGAGTGCCTTAAGCAAACATCTATAATTCTTTCTGCAATAAAAGCAATGTGGAAACTTTCTGAATAAAAAAGTTAAAAATCAATCCATGTCACTAAAAGCTAGGGCGAGGTCTAACATAAAGTTTTCATTCATTATCATTTTTTATTTTCTTTGAGGAATTCTGTCACATTTTAGTTAAAACCTTGCAGTAGAGAATGGAATTATAGGCTCAGAAATCAGATTACTCTGCCACTCCCTACCCATGTGGCTTTGGACAAGCCTCAGATTCCTCATGTATAAAGCTGGTTTAATTTGTCCCTGGTTTGGTTAGTTGTGAAGATTATGTGAGATTAATAGTTATAAAGTACCTAACATGGTGTTTTTAACATGTAGTAGTTGTTCAATAAATGTTTCCTTCTCTCTCTTTCAAAAATGATTATCACTAAGTGGGAAGCTCTTAATGTATTTAAAGTTATCTTCTTCCAACGTGGGAACATTGCCTGTTTGAAATTCACACATATCTGTTTCTGTTGACTGGTTCACCTTTGGGTTCACAACACCCCAACTGTAAACCTTTGCCAGCGCCTGCGCACACCATAAAGATAAGAACCCTGTGTCTATGGCCACATAAATGACCTCATATCTAGAAAAGACATAGCAAAAAGAATTACTTATACATGTGGGATATATAAGTATATCCTTAGAAACAAAGGTTCATATTATAGTAATCATTATATTCACACAAGCACATCACATATATTATCACATTCAAAAATGATGGTATGTGGTCTGAATAAGGAAAAAGGGTGATGTTGAGTACATATACCTAAAACAGTAATAGGAATGGAATTCGTTTTTTCTGAAGGTTGTCCCTTACAAAGTCATTTCCTCATACTTAGAAAGTTCCCCCAGGAAATAATATAATTTCTTTCTAGAAAACAAGACTTTTTGTTTTGGTAGTATTTTACTACATCATTTGCCTAGGTGTGTACTACTTAGTTGTTTGTTTTTTTTTTTTTAAAGAT